TAGAGCCTGGTCCTATTGTGCAACTGGGTTGCGGAACAATCTCAGGAGCTCTTGGGGCAACATGTGTTTACCCATTGCAAGTTATCAGGACCAGGTACTTGACAAAAAAAGGCCTTTGCTTCTAGAATCTAACCTGAAGTGATTTTGAACCTTGCAAATACATCCTTTTTATATTTTCTGCTTGCTGAGGTCAACTTTATTATTTCTTATCAGAATGCAAGCTCAACCGGCAAATACAGCTACAGCATATAAGGGGATGTCTGATGTAATCTGGAGAACGTTTAAGAAAGAAGGTTATAGGGGTTTCTACAAGGGACTTTTTCCAAACCTGCTGAAGGTTGTGCCCGCAGCAAGCATTACATATTTGGTTTATGAAGCCATGAAAAAGAGCCTAGACCTGTGAGTGGGTCTGAGTTGAGTTAGGGGAGGGTTAAGGGTGCTGGATGTTGATGATGAAAAAAAGAAACGAAGAATAAGATGATTTGAGTAAAAGAATTAGGTGATACGCATGAGATTATTTTTGAGGTAGATGATGATATTTCCTCTGGAGAATATGAGGACACATAATTTTGTAGTCAAATAATTCTTTTCTTTTACGGGGTTTATCTGAATTAAAATGTTGAGAAAAACAAGGTTAATTTGGAATAATTATTGTCTGACTGTGAAGTGATTAGGGTATAGTCAGTTTTCTTCTCTGTTTACAATTTGTCTCTACAATGAATACAAGAGATGCAGCATTTATCTGAATCTGTTCTTCTTCTTCACTCTCCTGCCCTTTTTGCTTCATATAAGGCTATGGCTTATAACAGGGGTGACCATTTGTGTTATATATATATATATACATATATATGGGAATTTGCTGAAGGCCAAAAATTGAACTGAGTGTTGGATTTTAACGAGAAAGGTAATAAATAATTTTTGAAATTTTATTTTTTATAAATAATATAAAAATACGTACATATAAAAGTAAAACGAGATACTTGATTTCTCTGTAGGTTTTCATTTCGAATTTCTGAGATTGAAAATTAATCGAATTAGCTGAGAACGAGTATCGATAAATCCGGAATAAACGAAGCTAATTTCTTTAACTTATTCAGTTTTTTTTTTTCTTTTTTAATTTTAACCATACCTTGAGTTTTGACTCAACAAAGCTATTGATTTGTTATCACATAACCATTAGGGCAAAACTCTGGTCTATCTTGCATTTGAAGAAGAAACTTACAAAATGTATAGCCCTTGTTTTTAATTTTTTAATTATATATATATATATATATGTATATACATATGATTATGAAAAAGCTTCTGACTGCTCTTCATTTTTTTTTTTTTTTTGAAAATAAAGACCATAATTCATGAATTTCAATTAATTTCCAATTATATGAAGTATAATCTGACTTCTTTAAATCTCTGCCAATTATATTGTTGACAGTCATTAGTTTAATAAAATTAACTTTTTATATTTGATTATAAATAGATAATTCACTCCAAAGTTAATTAAAACATTTAAAAATATATATATATATATTCTTCACAACTTTTACTTTTAAAAAACCAAATATTAAATTTTATTTGTGAATTTATCAATAATACCAACAACCATTAGAAGTTGAGTTAACTTTCTTTTAATTGAAACTTTTTTCTTTTCTGCATGATCAAACATAACCTCGCTACATCCTCTTAGCGATTTGCTGGAACTTGAGGATGATGATGATGATGATGTTATAGATATACGTGTGATGCGTACACACATGATGCTTTAATTTGTATTATGTTGTACAAAACGGAAAAGAGAAATTAATCAAGTAGTGATGTACGTACGTACATACATATATATATACACACGTGATATCACTTGAAAGAAAAATAAAACAGTTTATTCATACATGATTATTAAAACTAAAAACTGATAATCCAATAGAAATTAGTGATAGAAATGATCTCAAGCGTCCGATCACCATACAAAGTCAATATTCTATCGATCAAACCATTAAAAACAGATCAAGTAACAAACTAAATCAAAATTAACATACACATGCACGATCTATATATTCTACCCTACATTATTCTCAAACAAGCATCTGAGAATATTTTCTTGGATTGACCCACAAACAGCAGCACTTTGGTTTCCTTTTCTGATCTCTCTTCAAACCCCTCAATATTCTTTAATTATTGTAAAGAAAAACAAAAAAGAAAACTTGAAGAAAGGCGTTGCCTTCCCTTTGCCTCCATGACTTGCCTTTTGTTCCTCCTCCACTACTCACGATCAGAGGAAGAAGATGATGAGTTTTACGTACCCATTATCCAGTACTGCATGAAATTCTCATAAGCCCTATTTTCTTCCTCTTCTTTTTCTTGGCCATTGCAGCAGATTTTCTAACAACTTCACCCACCACATACAGCATATCTATATAGTATATATAAACTGAAACAATAATGGGTAAGTTGTGGGGAAGTTGTGCTTGTTTTGGTAAGCTTGTGTGTATATAATCACCATTAGCATACCCACAATAGGTAATTATATGAATTGTTTATTCCAAAAGCTTCTTAAAAGAATAAGAGCATAAAGAAGCTAAAAAGATCATTAGCCGCCACGTTTCTAAATGGTCCCCTCTCTGATATTCCCTCATTGGGTCATTTTTATATGCTCATGTTATTCTTTGCTTTACCATAAATATATTATTATTATCATATAATATAGCCGCCTCGAAAAGCAAAAAAAATAAAAATAAAAATATAGGGACATATAGATATCTATATATATATATATATAATTCAACGTGTAGAAATTTCAGCCCTACATTTTTGGGATTCTAGATTTCAATCAGATTGGTAGGTTGTGTGACTCGTAAAAAATAAAAGAGGTTTAAAATTGTAGGTGTAGGAAGGAAGAAGTTAGTGAGCAGAAGCAGAAAAAAGGAAAGGAGATAAAGATTAAGACCAAAAATGAAGGATTCCTTTTCTGGAAAGAAGAAAATTAAAACCATAAACAAATAGGAAAGTAGTTACGGGCAATTAATTAAACAGTGTAAAGGCGGGAGAATATGGAAATGGATATGACGCTTACTTTTTTAGGGTTCAAACATTTTGGACCGTCCACTTACTACCTCCCCATTGGAAAATTGTTTGTGAGAATCAATGTGTCAAATACCACTAATCCCATTTAAGTAAGAGATACGTGTATTCATAGATAGACTTTCAAAAACCATATAATATAAATTATAAGGTAACTTTAACGAGGGCCATCATAAGTCTGGTATTATTCCATTCCTCTTCTCGATCCATTTAATTAACAAATTATATATATATATATATATGTGTGTATATGTATATTTCTAGCTTTGCATGTGAATAATTAATGATACTAAATTTAGTAAACTATGATTAATTTCTATTTTTTAAAAATATATGCTGTTACCCTTTTGATTATATATGTTACTTCTAGTTAAATATGTGTTGATATTTATTTCAATTTATACAAAACAAATCTCATAATTTTTTAATTTCATTTATGATAATGTCGATTGCAGTATTAATAACTTCATTTAACTAATAAGATAAATTAGAAAAAATTTATAAAATTTATTTATAAAAGTTTGGATGAAGAGTGATAATTCAAGTTTTATATAATTCTATTTTTTGGGTTCCTTGAAGGGTATTGTGGATCATGCAAGCAAAACAATCACTACAAGTGTTTACTTTCCAATGAATGCAAATAATATGGATGTGTTAATCCTTACTTAAAAAATTCATTGATATGGTACTTATCATGCTGATAGAGTGGTTACATTTAAAATTATATGGAGAATATGCTTAATTTGAAGGAATACACTTCTATAATAAGCTTCTTAATCTCAATGTCTCACGCGAGATTGAGACCCTTATTTACACCGTGTGATTTAATGGATATGGAAGTGCTCGTACAATGTTACACGTAAAGCTAAATTTTCATCTTCTTTGTTTATTATAAATAAGTCTCTCTACTACTACATGAGTCAGGGTACTATCGAAAAAATTGTACTACCTTCTAAGGGGACCTTTCTGGGATCTCTAGCATGGTCACCCTCATTGGGGTATTGACCAAGTTTTTTGCGTCTATCTTGATACTCCAAAGTTATGGGAATACTCATCTCACTAGTCAACATCTTAATTCCATGTTCATAATCATGAATGAACTCATTTCTCTTTTTCTATATGAACTAAACAGTAGATCATCTTTTAGCTAACAATATCATATACTCTTACATTTAATCCACTTATGAAAGAGAATAAAAAAAAATTAATATAGTTATTTTTCAATTTAATTAATTCATATATATTTAGATTTGAAATAATATCTGATAACATAAATAATAGTTTCAGTTTAGCCTCGACATCTTGCATAACTATCTTTATTTACGATATGATGATATTTTTTTTCTTTATTAGTTAAGGGACTATTTAAGATCAAGAGTCATATAAAATATTTAATTTTCTCAAGTAGGAAAAACATCCAAACTACAAATTTTAAGAATTAAGAAGATTATTAGATAATTAATTAAGATTTATTTAATCTTATTATCACTAAATTTATTATCCTGAATTTGAAAATTAGTAAATTTTATATTATTAAATTAAATTTGAAGTAAAATTAGAATATACCAACCCTGAATAATTAGTAGTTTTTTTTTTTTTATGAGGTTGACTGTGTTATATAATTACTAAAATATATAAAATTATACTTTTTAAAAGAAATAAAAAAGAGTAGGGAGCACGGCTTAAAAGAAATAAAATTATGTGTAAACATACATTTAATTTAAATAAAAAGGTTTAGCAACTGGGATTCAAATAATAGAAAAGCACACAAAGTAACGAATAAATTATTAAATATTTCGAACAAATTCTGAAATTTTAAAACTACTGGTTATCAAATAAAAAACATAAGACTCCTACACAATTAATTACAAAAGGTTTTTTTACAAATATTTGCTGTCGTGTGGACCAAAAATTTATTAATAAATAAGAATATATTTCGTACTAATTTTTAAAAAATATAAATTTATATTAAATTAAAACTAATAATTAATTTCAGTACTGAAGTATTGAAAAAAAAAAAAAAAAAAACTCATATAAGCAATACAAATTTTATTAAATTGTTGACTAATTACTTTGGATAAAATTTAATATTGATTAATTAGTTAATTTTTAAAAGTTTTACTGTAGAATTAAATATTTATTTAAACTTAATCAGTAAGCAACCTGGAATTTTCTTTTAGGAAAAAAAACAAAAAAACAAAAAAAGAAATTCAATCCAAGGAAGCTCGTCATCACTGTGAATTCCGGTTGAATAATCGTCGGTAAATGAGATCTCAGTCCTTTTTCTACCTCTTCCCTCCTCTTTTGCTTGCTCTGTTATTCTCCATCTAGGATTCAAACCCTCATTTTTACACCTCCAATCCCTCACCAAACCCTTTTTATTTTCTCTCCAACGCCAGAGCTTCTTCACATTTTCTGATTTCCGCAACACCCACTTCCCCGCTTCTTACTCCAAGGTGTAAAGCTCGGATCAGCCCGCTTCTAATTTCGTTCACCAAAGCTTTCCTGGTTTTCGTTCATAAGCACGTTCGAAATCAGGTAGATTCCAGTTCTATCAGCCCTACCACCAGCTACAAACGTCGATCCGTTTACCTTCTCCAGCTGTCAGTCGTAATAGGTAAATCCTCTTTTTTGCAGATTTTTCTTGAATCGCTTGGTTGCTTGATCTCCTTCACTCTATCTTCTACGTATATATGATTTTGTCGTATCATTTTTATGAATATATTTTGTGGATCCATCGATCTTGTTTCTGCGCTTTCTCTCTCTCTATCGCTCTCTTCGAAATCTTAACAAATTTGAGTTCCCATCAAGGGGATCAGTTACATTCATCTTCTAGACATTGACCAATAATTTTCCATTTCCTTGATGTCGTTATTTGGAGTTTATTTACCTACGACTTGGAGATGCTAGCTCCAGCTTCATCTGTTCTTTGTAAATTTGTTAGTGAGACAGCTTAGGTTTCTTGCAATTAAGTTATTGTTATAACTTGGTACAGGCTTGAAATATCCGTGTTTATCTTAGCAGCGGATTTTTTAACACTCTTGGAATTTTTTTGGAGCATCTTGACTCTGAGATTCCATATACATCCACAAACTTCCAACACTGCTGGAAAACTGGCCAAGACGCAGGCCTGTTTATTTGTAAATCATTGGAAACTCCTTGGCAGCATATTCTTGAGAAAATGCTTGTTAACGCTGCCATAAAGTTTGGTAAATGAGTTGGATTAAAAACTTGGCTACAAGAATTTGTTCACTCATCACATGTTTCAATACCCACATTGCAAATGGAAGCTTAGAAACCTTTTTTTCTCGAGTTTGTGGTATTTCTGTGCAAAATTATTTAGATGCCATGATGTTTATTTGGAATTTTAATTTTATGTTATGATGTATTTAGAATAGAGGGAGAAATAATCATCTAGAAATATGTAGGGCAGGGGAAGAAGACGCATCTGTTGAAGGTTCTTTCGAAATTTACTTATAAGTCTCTATCTGCAGGAAATGGGTTTGTGGACATTATTGGAAGGCTGTCTGCTTCTTGCAAATGCATTGGCAATATTAAATGAAGACCGCTTTCTTGCACCTAGAGGATGGAGTTTCTCTGAATTTTCTGCTGGGCAGACGAAGTCATTTAAGGGGCAGCTTATTGGTCTCATTTATGCTACTCAGTACTTGAGAGTTCCTCTAATACTACTCAACTTGATTTGCATCCTTGTGAAATTGGTATCTGGATGATGCCAGGTGAGCTGAGATGTTCTTAGCTATTTATTTGTGCGTGTCAAATTTTAATGAATGTGTTCAAATTGTAGTAGCAGGATATGATGAGAAAATAGTTGTCGAATCGTGAAATGGGGATGTTAGTAATAAAGGCATTGGAAACAAACAGATTGCAATTTTCTGATTTGCAATGTACATTTTGGCTTTGTACCAAAAATCACACAATTAAGCTGGATGAACACATTTGCAGTTAGGCCTTGTAAAATAAATTATTTTATCATGTGTTGTATGTTCTAGCCAGTTGAATATATTGGCTTTCTTCTGGTCTGAGATTTCTTTTCCTTAGAATCAAATGACGAAGACCCATAGTAGTAGCGTTCTAACGAAATTGAAGTGAATTTGACTGTCAAGTGTTTTATGCTGAAACATGCATGTAAACTTGTTAATCATCAGAGGCAGATTGTGGAAAATCTTTGGTATTGTATTGTTTGCTTGTTTCTCTATGGGGTCCTCTTCTCTTTATCTTGTATTTCGTGATGATGAGATTAAATGATATTACATTATAGGATTACAACTTTAATTGCAACACTAAAAAATTTTCAGAACTTTTGGTTGCTAACAGTTCCTTTTGTTGCATGATTCATGCAGTTGAACCAGAAAAAAGGAGAGGGATGTTTTTAGAGTGGCAGATTCATACACGTAAAGGAAACTTTTGGTTCAGAGATATTGTTCAAAATTGTCCTGTTTTAACGATGAGGCATTTGTAAGGTAAGGTTGTATCCGAAGCTTTCAGCATGTTCAAGATGTGAGAATGAGAATATTGTGAGTTCAGCAAATTCTATGACTGTCACTGAGAATTTGTTTCATTCCCCAGTAAGTGAAATCACACTACCAATTTCAGTTTGTGCTCAACAAATTTAAAGTCTCATTTATTTATTTTCTTCT